TGTTTCTTGGGCAAAAGAAGCAGATGATACTTCCCTCTTGGCAATACATAAATTACTTACATAGGCATCATTTCATGCTTTCTCAAGGCAGTACAGGATTAATGTCCAGCCATGAGCAATTAAGAGCATGCTACTGAAGCCTCTTTGTCAGGTGCTAATCCTTCCATACCATGTGTAAATAAATGCTTTGGGTGGTACCAAGTTTTTAATGTTGGCACAGAAAAGGAAGTCTTTCTGTTGCATTCTTTTAGGTTCCTTTCCCTTCTCTAAGAAGAGTATGTCTGCCCAGCACAATGAGTGCCATGCAGAGGGATCTGAGCTAGCTCAGATAGCAGCAACAGTGCCACTCTATTAATATGGTGTTGTGCTTAGGCTAATACAACCTACTTTTTCAGCAAGGCAAACTAGTCTAAAGAATACTGTGTTAATCTGGTTACACTCTATTGTTATTCCAACTAACTGCCTCAGAGCTAGCTCTGAATATAATTTACATGGTACTGCTTTGTGCCACTTTGAACATACCAATGTACTACAGTGGTGGTATAGCAATACAAAAGTGGTTACATTAAATTAAAAAAGAGAAATATCTAAGCACAGAAGCATCTGCAGAGAATTATGGTTAACCTTCCAAAATCAGTAACAGCCAGCTTCATGTTTTTTGAGAAAATGTTTTGAAAGCCACAAAGCTACTTTTGACCTTGTTGAATGCCATATTTCTATAAGGAATAGACATAATTATAAAAAGTGTTAGCATCCTGTCTTTCTTCTGGTTTCAGGGAGGAGTTATCTTCAGACATCTGAATAAGCATATAAATGCACAAAATCAGGAAGGGGAAAAAAATCCACACCACCCTCCCCCCAGAGTACTGAAGTATTCCTGTATGTGTGTGCATAAAGAGTGAATGGGAGCAGGGGAGTTAATTTTGTGGTGGTGTTTGCTGCTTTGTTGAGGGAATAAGATGATAGAGAAATGTGGGTGAATGAGGAAGGTTTCTCCATTGAAAGCTGACCATTTAATAGGAAAATAGAGTTAGACCATCTCTGACAAGCATCCTTGAATCCTGTTGTTCTGTAACCTGTACACAAGAGATCGTGCATGTCAAGGTCGTTTACCACACAGATATAGTTTAAACTTCTTTCATTCACTTCCTTTTTTTCTTTTTCAATGTCCATTCACTATTTAAGAATTGGATGGTTTGACAGGCTGAGAGCTTTGGAGGCAAACAATCTCTTTATTAACGTAAGGTATAAAGTGGCACTTCTGCATGAGGAAAATTGACCCCTGTAATTTTAGTCATAATCCTCACAATGGAAATGATCTTAAATATTTGTATTATTTAACTGCAAAAAGTCATTTGAAAGGGAGCAAGACTTCTGGTAGTCTTGACTTACTCAAAATGCATTTCAGTTATGTGAGTGCTAATCTATAAAAGGAAATGATTTCAGCACCTAGGACAGCAGAGTTCCGTAAGTGGCTTATATTAGGGGTGTGCGAAGCGGGCAGCATTTGATTCAGATTTGGCCTGATTCAGGGGATGGTGATTCGATTTGTTGATTCAGATCACTGCCCCGATTTTTTTTTTTTTTTTTTTTTTTTTTTTTTTTTTTTTTGGTTCTGCTGAATCTGAATCCAAAGATTCAATTCTGATTTGGAGAATCAGCGATTCAACCATAGACAGCTTTATATGGGTTTTTTTTTCTATGTACCTCAAGGTACCAGGCACAGCCCATGAAAGCTGAGATGGTGGGGTGGATGGAGCGTCCCACAAGAGCGTGGGCAGATCCCTGCGCACTCGGCAGTGGACCGCACCCCCCCAACTCAGCAATTGGGTTCGGGGGGGGGACCCTGGGTGTGCCCCCAGACCCAGAAGACACCAGTCGCCAGGGCGCAGGGGTCCTCCATGCATTCTGCAGTGGACCTGGAAGTGAACCAGAAATATTTCTGGTCTACTTCCAGACCCACTGCTGAGAATGTAGGGGAGCCCCCCACACACCTCCGTGCGACGCTCCATCTGCCCCACCATTGCAGCATTTGCGAGCAGCGCTGAGTACCTCAAGGTACATAGAAAAAACAAATAAAGCTGTGTCTATGGCCGAATGGTCAAATCTCTCCAAATCGGATCGGAGGCTTCTGATTTAATTCAGAGAGATTAATGGGTCTCCTGATTTAATTAGAACTCAGATTCAGCAGCCGAATCGGGCCAAACCTCCTCTGAATCAAATCCGTGACCAAAGCTTTGCACAACCCTAGCTTATATCATCTTTTGCTCCACATCATAAAGACAGAAGGTTCTGGAGCAGAGAAACATGGAACTTTTTAAGATAAAGTCGGTTCTTAGTTTTAGGAACCGAGCACTGTTTTCATTATGTACTGATAGGTGTGAAAAGAGTCTGAGAAATGTTCCTTGTTTTCCTGTTTCCCAGGCTTCCCTGTGTGTATGATCTGTTTGCTGGGTCACGCACTTTTTCAGTTGCTATCTTCTGTAAATTGTCATGTTTGTTTAAAATAGTCAAGTTTTGACAGAAGCCTACATTGCAAGGCTTTGTGAGGAGGGGGGTTGTTTGTTTGTTTTGGGGGGGGTTATTTTTTGTGTGCAGGATTGCAGGGGTGCAAGAAAGGGAAACAGCATTGTACATCACTGAGCAGCTTGGAGTACTTAACATTATAACTTATATTTTTCACAAGATTATTCATGTTAAAGAGTCTGTCAGCTAATACAGATAGATTTGGTTATACTTTCAATGTAAATAAGCGATTTTTCTTCCTTACAGTATGTATTGGTTTTGCAGTTTACATGCCACAAAATGTGAGTCATTCTTTGTTTAATAGACACTTAGGTCTGTGAAATGAAACACTGCAGAAGTAGTTCTGACAGGATTGACAGGTATAGGCATGGGGCTCAGCTGCTGTAGGCCACTCAACTTGATGACACTCTTACAGTAAATAATCAGGTATGGTAGGAAATGATAGCAAACGTCAGTTTAAAGTTCTTGGTTGTCAAAACTAAGATTGTTTTATCACTGAACTGTTGCAGAACAAAATTATACTACTTTTTATGCTTCAAGTTTTGATCTTTGTTATGCTGGTCTGCATCACTCAGGCTAACAAATTGTAGGTGAATTGTAGATCTAATCTGGTTCCTCCGATTTTCACAGTACAGACATTAGGGGTTTTTTTATCTGCTAAGCTTTAGTCTAGCAAGAAAACACTAATTTGTCTGCATTTATGGCTGCACATCTGCCAGAGGTTTTTTTTTCACACTTTTGGTTTAGATTGTTTGCCAGAATTTGACAACTCTTATTATGTGAGTAACTGAAGACTCAGATGCTCACTCAGCCCTGTAGTTTTGTCTTGGAGTTGGATGCCATTGCAGTACAAATATTGTGTGAAAGAAGAACATAAAGCTCTGGAATTATCTGCACCTGCTAAGTTTTATTTTAAAGGTATGAGCTTATCTTCACTAGGGTTTTATCTGGTTAGTTACCACACTAGCTGACACAAGTTGAGATGACACTTTTTTGTCCAAGGACGGCAAGGTCTTGGTGTAGCAGCTTGTAGCTGACTTTCCATTTGGTCATGCGTTCCTTTTTTGAGATCTGTATTGACTTACTAACTTGTCATGACTTCACATTAGGTATTTAAAGGATAACTCTTGTTGCTTAATATCCTGCAAAAACATATGCAGCTGGAATTTGTTGGCATTTTTCTAATTGCTCATGAAAAAGGTAATACACAGCTACAGTTCCTATATATAAACCACAGCAATATTGGCACATGCTGTCCCTTTAAAATAAGCTTCATACTGCATTTTTCTATGAATTTTTATTTCTTTAAATTGTAGATACGTGTCATGAAACGGTGACCAAAGTCTTAATCATAATACCTCTCAAAAAAATTGCTTCAAATCCATGTGCAAATCCACCTACTGTTCAGTGTTATGCATTTCCTCCTATTATTCCATCCACCCAGGTTCAGATCTCCTGCAGCCCTCGGCTAGAGCAGTCTTCTACCGCCCTTTAGCTTGTACTTCAGGGAACTTCCACTTCTAGCACTGCCCATCCCTGTTTCGCTTCCAAGTATGTTATCTCAGCATGCCAGCTCACATGGCCTTTGAATAGCTCCGAGACTTGGAAGGAGCTTTATCTTTCCAAAGGAAACCTATAGACCACTGGGCAGCATAAATTTTGTCCTTTTTTGGACCCCTTTTATAGATTTGGGGGGGTTATTTTAGTTTAGGCTGGAGAGATTATTATTAACAGTAGGTGATCCTGATTTTGTTCCTAGTGTGCCAGCCAAAGGGCAAAGTATTTTTAGTAGGTCCACTTCTGAAATAAGAAACAAAGATGCAAAGGCCAATTGATTTGCCTTGTGGGTCTATGGGATAATTGGTTTAACTGTTCACTTGCAAACCACAGGAACTGGGTTCAATACCCGGGGCTGACACTTAATTGTTCTGTGACCCTGCAAAATCATTTAGCCTCCTGACCTCCCCAGCTGTACACTGAGCTAGTGGTTTGCTTCTCACCAGGCAAGGAGTGGAGCAGCTGTGAGGATTACTTGGAAATCTATGTACAGCAGTTTCAGACAATTCACCATAAGGTTGTGATATTTGAGAGAGTATTTATTCAACCACTTCTATGAAATAATGGCAAGGGAAGTGCAGGAAAAAACTGGTATTGTGAATTGCTTTTGAGGAGATCATTCTTTGTTTCAAGACCTATCCAATGTTGAAGGCTTGCTTTAAGTATCCACACTTGTAGCTTGAGACCTCAGTAAAGCAATCCTCAGCGAAGCAGTGGCATCTAACATTTTATTTGGCCAGTCTTGTTCAGTGAGCAAATAGGGGCTAACCAAGTAGCCCATGGGCTACATAAGGATGCTGTCTCTGCTGGAGACATGCTGTCCTTCTTCAGGCTTTCCTCTCTGAATAGTTATGCTTTAAGAGAAGCTGCCTCAATCCGTTTTTAACTGCATTATTTGTGTGTCTCTCTCCTTGCAGCGGAGCTGACTACTATGACTATGGGCATGGACTTAGTGAGGAGACATACGATTCTTATGGTGAGTAGCTTCACTTGTAGAGCTATTAAAGGTTGTTAACAATTCAGGGAAAAATAAATATAAATAGGTTTTCATATTCCTATATCAGTAGTATCTACCTCCATGGGTGCCTCCACCGGCACAGTCCACTTTTTGTAAACTTGTGGTTACTGAGAATAGGAATATAAAGTTGATTTAATTGCTGTCAGTGATTTCTTGCCATGTAAAAGTAAACACTCCATGCAGGATTCTGCCACTTTTTTACTCAGATTTCCCACTTGGCCCCAAACAAGGCATCTCTACCTTAGAGTACAGTAATATGAGATTAAAGGTGACACAGTTAGACTGTATGTCCTTAGTTCAGTGGAGCACTTAAGCACATGCACAACATTAAGCATTTCCTAGCTGCCACTAAAGTCAGTGGAATATGTATACGCACAAGTCCTTGTTGAATCTGCCTATATGACCACATTTCAGACTTGGTTTATAGTCTTTTGATGTTAATTCACTTCCCAACTCCAGTGCTGTGTGAAATCAAGTAGGGAGTCATTATGTAAAGGTTATAAAAGTATTTTAGGTAGGTAATAGACATGAGGGCCCTGGGGTACTTGCATAAGGACAAAATAATGCCTAATAAAACAAAAAAGCATATGCTGATATTAAGGATTGCATTATTCAAGCCAGAAGTGCAGTAGTGATAGGCTTAATTAGAAGAACATCTAATGGATTAGAAGCCTGAAGCACAATTAAGAGCCACCTTTGCTTAAGGGATAATCATTGCTTAGAGATCAGGGAAATGTACTCTTAGATCAGTCGAGAAAATTAACTTCCAAATTGGTAGTAAATGATACAAGTGAATCGTGATTCTGGTCAATGGATGCTGTGACTTTTTTTGAACATAAGTGAAAGGATTCTGTGGTTAATCTCTTGAAGTCTATTTTGCAGTGTCTCCTGCCTGAAGCAGTGATGACCTCAACCACTTTGTCGTAATAAATGCTCTGAGCATAGGTTTGCTGCATGTTGTCGTCGTCTTAAAACTGATGCAAGGCAGCTCGAGGGAAAATCATTGATCGGATGATTGCATGAAGGGGAAGTCGCTTCAAACTTTTTTCCCCTCACAGCACTTTAAATTCGTCTCTGTGGACTGTATAGCTTAAATCACTGTATATTTCAACCTTAAAATTAACCATTTGTAGTTGGAATCTGATCCATCTTTTTTTTCCCCAGCAGCTTCCAAGCTACCCAGTGTCAATAATTGGATGAGGGTACAATTTTGTTAACACTTATTGAGCCTTTGGACTTAAATCTGATGATTTTTCTATTTGGTAATGCACTCAAGACTTAATCCCTGAGTCATTAAATCTCTTTCCTAGTCACAGAGCTGCAGTGCATGTGAATTTGGGCTGAGCATTCATTGGTGGAATTCAAAGAGACGACACACCTGCCTGGGGCTCTGGTACCTTGAAGAGAAACCCCTAAGCATGTTTTGGTCAGTATTCAAAGTAGCCAGCCCTCTATGCATGGGGATGCACAGGCCAGCCATGAGCAGAAAAGGGAGGTGTGTCTTGGACCCTAGTGTCTCCCAAAGTCAGGCAGGGTTAATGTAATTCTTTGCAGCCCTGACTTGCACATTCCTGAATCAGTGGCTTTAAACCTCTGCATACAAAAAGGCTCAAATTCTCTCCTAGCTAAATTGTACAGAAGCCTACATACCCATGTTATTTTCTGCATGGGGCTGACCCTCAGCTGTGGGTGTCTCCTTTTCCTCACTGAGAACTGTTGACAAAACTACTATCAGCTGCATTTTTGCTATATTTTAGTCATTCAGTAAGACGGTTGCATATTTTACCTTTGCTAATTGTATTTTTCACCTTTTAAAGATTCACTCCTCCTAATTTGGAAATGAAGTGGCATATATGGGTTTTATACCCAGAAAAAATCAATTGCCTGTTGTTCATTTTAGAGGTATTAATGAATGGCATATATAAACAATTTATAGGAAAAGCCCATTACGTTTTTCTTTCTAGTAAAGTATCTTTCTTTACATATTGCAATTAACAATCATATTCATAGATATAGATGTATAATTTGTTTGTTTTTTTTTAAATAAAGGCCCCCAAAGTTAGAAAGCCAACCTTTAGCTAGGAGTCCCATTTACATGCTGGCCACCCCCTCCCTGTAGTGATAGTAAGTGAAACCAAATTGTATTAATAAGAATTCAGCTTATGACAGCCTCCAAGAGTGAACCTCCGTAGGTACATAATAATATTTGCTGGCACAAAACAAAACTGCATGAATACTCTTATAGACAGTCTACTGAAGGGCCAGGGGTGGTATAGGAACTAGTGAGACTGGAAGAAGAAAAATGATGGTCAAGAGGACCAAGATGTAGATTTGCTGAATAGGTGTCCTTGGTTTTCACTTAGGACAGCGATCCAGTCGGGTGCCTCGGTGTACTTAAGTATCCCAGTATTGACAGTATAACTTAATCTTCCTTTACATGCATACGCAAAGGTATTAATCAAAATGGTGGACTTGTATGGCTATACACAGTAGCTGAGTGTACTGACACCCAGTTCTGTTCTAGCATAAGCACAAAAAAGCTTTGCCTGGTACTGAAACAGCTAGGCCTTCCCCAGCACATCACTATTTAGTTGGACTTGTACTGAATTGTGCATTACATAAACATAAAACCCAACTGGAAGGAAACAAGAATGCCTAAATACGTTAGGAGTCTGACCTTTGTTGCATCATATTAAGTATTATCTTATGTTTAGAGTTGCAGGTATTTAGTTAATTAGCACCTGGGAAGAGGGACTGTGTGTTCCCACATGTTTGCACAATATCCAGCACAGTAGGTGTCTGATTTTTTTTTTTTTTTTTTTTTTTT